CGAGCCTTAACGCGTAGTATTATGAAGATGATTAATCGTCCGAGTCCTATACCTGCAGATCGAGCGAGACCATTCCGAATCTGTCTTTCGCTGATGGATCGCTGGGAAGTAGGCGGTTTGATCGTTCCGGAAGTATTCCTCCCTGCACTACAGAGCATTCAAGCATATAGTGAGACCGCCATCAAAGATGAGCTGGAAGAGGTCATGAGAAGTGCCAACATTTTCTTCGACGGCGTCGAAAGCGGTCTAATTTGGGGTAAACTGATTGAACTTGTCACCTCTTCCGTAAACCCACAATTATCAAGTCGTCAAGAAGCAGTTCGCAAAATGAAGCTAGCCAAATTCATACTTGCACGCTTTAACCTGAAAGAGGAGGAGATGCTGATTCACCATATGCCCCTAATGATCCTATCAACGCTTGTTACACTGAACCAGGTTTTCCATGGCACGAACCGCGAGATACCTTTAGGAAAAGACGTCTCAGATTTAGCTTTTGAGATCATTGATTCACTGGTGCAATTTGTACCAGAGCGAGCTTTAAGAAACAGCAATGCTGATCACGAAGAGCTGAAGGCCGCCGTGGAAACCACGCGAGAGGCTGCACTCGAAAGAATCAGCTTATTCTACAGAGAATCCCATGGTAATCTCGATTTCTCTGACCCACCATTTACAGCTATCGAGCTCGGACAGCTTATCCTACGTGAATCAGCATACATCTTCTCAACATCTATTCAATCAGATTCTACCGTCACCTCCTCCGAAATATCGTCGAGAATTCTTTCCAGCTTGATATTCAAGGTACAGGAGATGGAAGCTTTAGACGAACTGGACCTCATTTCCGCATTTCAACAAGTCCTATCAACCGAGTCCTCGACGCCTCATCCATTACTGCCATTCCCACATCTTGTCGCTATTACCTCGGTCCTCTCAGCCTTCCAGACTGCTGAAACGTCTAACCCATTCGTAAGCCTTACCCAGCTTCCAGATATAATGCATCCTCTGGTCGCCTCTTTTTGGCAATACCTTTCGCCATTCATACCAAAATACCACGTCGAAGCTGTACGATGCTTATGGCAATTACACACAATTTCGGCCTCAAGTCGAATGGTGGAAGCTGCCATTGCCTCCATCATTGTCAAGCACACATCTTCGTCACCAACAACAAGCCCAGGCAACCAGTCTGATACTGGTCGACGATTCGCGATTCTTTGGACTCACACTATGTACGAACAGAGCTTGCAAACAGAGAAGCGAGGTAGCACTACGTCACGGCGTTCTAGCGGCATCGGTGCACCACCTCCACTTTTCCCAGCCAGGGGCTTCCAATCCATGCTTACTCGACCTTTGCTGCTCTTGCTGGATTCGCTCGCGGATGAGGGGACAGAGCTTTTTGCTTTCATGAGAGGTTGGCTACAAGATCTTCCCACACTGAACAAGGTTTTCGAAGTCCCTGTGGTCCATCTGCAGTCTTTACGGTGCCTTGAAAGCAATGATAGCCTATCGCCAGACAAGCCTCCCCAAGTTCAGGCACCAGGAGTGCGGGTAGATGACGCAAAGGAATGTCTCTATTATCTGAAACATATCCTACATATCTTAAAGCGCCCATCACATTACACTTGGGTCACAATAGCCGAGGAATTAGCGCCTCAAGCGAATGATGCGCCTCCAACAAAAGCTTTCCTCCAGGAATGGATCGCACGGACATGTTTGAAAGCCCTCTCCATCAAAGGCAAAGTAGCCGACCCACAGGAGGATACTAACCTGCAAGAGCTCTATAAAACAGCCGCTACAATCATTTTTCAGATCTACCAAAGCCCATTTGCTTCTTCACTAAGAGATATGGAGCTAGAAGTCCCGCTGATGGCTAGGCTGAGGACATCGGGTCCCTCCCTCCAGAGTCTCTTGCTCGATGTAGTTCTTGCAGCGCTAAGAATCCGACTCCTCACTCCAGTAGAAGAGCGTTCTGCGGATCAGAAAGTATCAAATCTCAACACGACTCGATCGAGGCTATCACTGGTCATAGAAAGAGCATCCGATGAACATGAGCCACAGCCGATCCCACCTCCCCCTCAGTTGGTCGACTGTCTCAAGTATGGCTTTTCATCTCCCTCAAGCCGGCTTGTTCTGGATGACTGGGTTCATTTCCTCGCGGAAGTTCTTCCACTCTTCGCAGATACGATTTTCCAAAACCTCCTCCCACTCGTGGAATGCTTCTGCAAACAGATCAATACAGCGTTCGAACAGCTCAAATCGATCTTCAATACACCCGCTGCTAACGCAGAAATTTCGCCGGAATCAACTTTAATCTCTCTAATTAATGGTCTTGAGCAGATACTTGCGAAAGCACACGATCAGCTGGTGATACAAGAAACGAAGAGTACAGTGAACAAGTCCCCAGAACAGCCTCAGGGTTTCTTCGGAAACATGGTGTCCGGGGTCTTCTCTTCGGATTCTAATCAGACACGTACGCCTACCGCAAACAATAGACTGACAGTTCTGCTATGCTTCCAAGATACAGTCCGGATATGTTTCTCGATCTGGTCATGGGGAGGATACAGCTCGGAAGATGGTCGGCACGATCCAACATCAGCTGCCTCATTTGGCTACACTTCGTTACGGATGCGTAATCGAGCTCGACGAATCCTAGAGCACCTATTTGCAGCAGAAGCCTTGGAGTGTCTGGAGACTTTGGCCGTTCTATGGGCTCATTCAAATAAGGATGACGTACAGGCGACGGCAATCATGGGCCTTTTAAACGTACTAAACGGGTCCAAGCCTAAGCATACGATTCCTGCTATCTTCAACGCTGTTTACAGTCGCACGAATCCGAACGCCCTAGATCCCAACAGAATGTCTACATTGACATCGGATTTAGCGGACATCGATCTCACCGCATTTCTTGTTGATTACACGAAGTCGTTAGAAGATGATGCCATGGATGAGATATGGTCTGACTGTACTCTGTTTTTGCGCGACGTTCTTGCGAACCCGCTTCCTCATCGACAGATCCTCCCAGCCTTGCTTGAGTTCGCCGCAGTGATTGGGCAAAAGGTGGACAACACCAATTTTGGAGAGCAACGGAAGATGAGGAAAGAGCTAGCAGTAAGTTGATTTGCCTGTTAATGGCGGTCGATAACTAAAAGCTTTGAAGGATCTGTTCACCAGAATACTCACAGCCGTCTTTACCACTCGCTCGATGGGATTCCTACAAGAACCTTCACAAGTTGCGGCAGCAGAGAAAGCACCTACATCCACGTCAACAAACGGTGGCCATGGACAGAAGCGTGCAGTTGATGTCGTGTCTGTCCTCACTTTGATAGTGCCGAACCTCCCAATAATTCTCGTCGAAAATGACCGAGTGGCCAACGTTGTTACCAGCATATCTACGAGTGTGGTCGGACCCACCTTCCGTGCTAAAGCGTTTCCAGAGAACGTTTCGAAGACCATTCTTGATCTCCTCTATCAGCTGGCACGCGTAGCTCAAACGAACAAGTTCTGGAAAAAGGAGATATATGACGCATTCAACGATTCTCGCTTCTTCAACACCTCTCTGCCATTATTGAAGGCCTCATGGCTTCCCATAATTGCTCAATGGTGTCACTCAGATAAAGATCGGCTTCCTGAACTGCTCTTTCGTCTCTCGGCGCCTACCACTGCGGGTATTATGTTTGGTGTTGGCGCAGCATCCGCTCGACAGGAAGCAGATCGCAAGACGCAACTTACCCTCCGCCGCATCTCGTTGCTCCTGCTCGCAGCTCCTGAAGATACTTTCACCCCAAATCTTCCACAAGTAATGGAAAAGATTGTAGAGCTCCTGACCGCCACACCGGCATCCTCACCGTCTTCCACAACCCGCCCAGAACTAATAATCCTCCTCCGCGCCATAATCCTCAAAACTTCGCCAGTCCATCTGGCACCGCTCTGGCCAATCATAAACAGCGAACTCACCTCAACACTGTCCTCACTCCTGCCAGACGCCGAGAACAAAGAATCATACAACAACTCAGGCATCATTCAAGCCTGCAAACTATTCGATCAGCTCGTCGTCCTAGATCCAGATGATTTCCAACTCATGGAATGGCTCTTCATAACCGATACCATCGACGCCGTTTACAAGCCTCGGGAATGGTATCCCACCTCTCTGACCGACGAAATTTCGGAAATCCTCTCCGCGTCGGAGACTCCGACCAACCGTCGTCCTGGTATAACAGTACCGTCGCATACCAATTCATCTGCAAACTCTGGTGATCCACCAAAGCGCACGCTGTTCCTGGATCCGCTGATTGAGGCGTTGGAGAAGGAGGAAGGAGCTGAGGTTACGAATATGGCGAGGCGGGAGCTAGTGGATAGAGTTGTAAGACCGTTTTTGGGGCAGTTGGCCATGGTGAGTTTTGAGAGTACGTATGGAGGTGGCCAGGCGGACCGGGAGGGCTGCTGGGAGAGTTGTGTTAGGGACGCTAGTGGAGTTGAATAGAAGTATGAGGATTAGAGCTTAGTCTATCGATGTTTATCACAGCACGTCGGTCTGAAAAAGGTCTTGTAGATGTGTGAAGGTGTAAATTGCTTTGGAATTAGCTCCCGTAGCCGTTGGCCTTCGATTTCAATGCATATTTAGCTCATCTAGAAGTTTCTTATAAAGCGTTTCGTGTCTGGATTGATGTTCTCAACCCGTATATTCGTTGTGTATGCCGTTGATGAGGTTGGGGAGATCAGGAGTCTCGTTCAGGTTTCAGCGACATGCCATTCATTCAAGAAATAAGTTTGACAATCCAATATGCCAGTACTCAGCGTTATCAAATCCCTCTTCTTGAGGAATTTACGATTTATGACGCTCTTTCCTAGCGAACTTTGCCATGCGCAAAAATACATGATGTTCTCGCACCGTCCCACCACCACCACCACCACCAAAAGCTGCCCAAAATCCATCGCAACTCCAACCCGCCCATGAAGAAAGACATTCACACATCCAAAAATGTATCCAAAAAAAAAGTTTAAGTTGTTGACACGAGTGAGGTTCGAACTCACGCGGGTTGCCCCAGTAGAGATTTAAGAGTCAACAAGTACTTAAATCTACCGCCTTAGACCGCTCGGCCATCGTGTCGAGGACAATTTTATCCAATATTTTGCTCTTAATTAAATTATAATCTTAATTAAAATGGCGACCTGCTGAAATTGCTGATGATTGGGAGGGAGTGGGGGGTGCCATGGAGGGGCAAGATGCGTCATCGGAGATCGACTCAGGGATTACCTTTCAGACATCGGACGTGGGCTTTGACTTTTGCTTTTTTGCTATGAAAGATGTGATGGGTTTCGGAATGTGATTCTGCATGCATGTGCCCATGAAGTAGAGATGCGCTGGCCGTGCTCTTGACGTATGTGCCTCGGAATCAACCAACACAGATCGAACCACCTAGCATACTTGCATTCAACTTCCATCCAATCCAAGATTTTTCCAATTCCAAGCCTTTGTTGACGCTGCCAACGCATGAAATCGCAAATCGAAAAACGCTATCCGTTGGCCCAACAGAGAAAAGACCCATCATGTGTCAAGTTTTCTAGCGGTTCCAACTAAGATCCACCCGCCATGGTTCGTCAGAGAGACGGGGCGAAATTAGCAGACCCACTATCGTGCGTTGCTGATTTGGGCATTTCTTTGTCTCGGTTAAGCTTTCCTGGTATCATAGGAGGTGGGAATGTTGGAAGATGGAGATTCTAACTATCGTGGGTTTGCTTGCAGCAGCATGACTGATGTTTGGAAACGGATTTGTCTCACTTTGAAACTCTCCTGGAAAGATTCTGGGTATTGAGTGAACGCTTTTTAGGTGCAGGATGCATGACGTCCAGTTGCATAGCGAGGCTTTTTGAAGTAGATTAATGCTCGGGGAACTCTCGATGGATAGATATTTGAATAAGCTTGTAAGCAAACTTGCGCAAATGTTGATTACTCGCCTGTCCGTCGACGCAAAGCGCAAATCACGGACCCCTCAGCGTGGCTCATCGAGGAAGCACGGTTGTCGTTGGGAAAAGTGACAAGTCCGTTGATGTGCATCGCCCGTGCAGCGGGTACTTGGTAGAGGGCTTGGTGATCGGATAGGTCGGTGCTGATTAAGTGTGTCAGGAGAGAATTTGATGGGTGATGAGTGCTCGGAGATATCACGACATTTGGGAAGAAATGATGCTTCTTTTACTGTGTCGGATAGACGTTGATAGATTTCAGGTCATGTGTCCAGGACAGAGACAGAGAGATATATCGGAAGGTAAACCTGTGTTAGAATCCTCATTTCTGTTTGCTGCTCACTAACATCCTAGATCCCTCTGCCTACTTACCCCTTTCCAGCTCTACAAACTTACCCATTGTCTTAAACTTTAGGTTAGAAGATTGTTGCAAGGGAATTTCCGCAGGCGTTCTTTTTGGAATGCCGTCTTATAGGGTATTCGGCATCCCCGAGAATTTGTAAATAGGGGCTCACCCAAAGACGTGGTTTTGGTATTCAGGGACTCTCAAAACCCTTAAGGGTCGGTATTTAGCTGAATTTTGAGTTTCCTATCAAGAAGCATATGGGATTACAGTCCCAAATGTAAGAATTGTGTACAAGTATGCTAAAGTCCGAGGTGATACACGTCCGACCTGACATCACTCCGCCTTCCATCACAAGCTGCATTACAGAGTAAGGCTGCAGGCACGATTAGATCCACCAGCTATCACGTTTCCACGCGGAGTCATCGTAGACACACCCGCGGAATAGACGAACTCATGTCCCTCCTGTGGACATCTCCCGGTCGATGCTACCGAAGATCTTATAAAGAGTGAACGGTTCGTCTGCGCTTTCCATGGAAGAAGTTTAAGTTCTATCTAAGGCAAGACATATTGGAACGAACATGGGACGGCGTGGTGCGGGTTAGCTCCATAATCATTGATTGGAAGAACCATACCATGACTTGACGTCAATGGCCAAAACGTTGAATCATTGAAGCGCTGGAAGGCTAAATGTAGAGAATCGGTAATCTCGATGCTCGTTTGGTGTGGGATGCGAATGGAAATTCCACCTAGTTAGAAGCAGGCAACCGCAGAGGATGAGCATCGTAAGGGCGATTGGTGAATTCAGGACATTATCTACCAATGGTTCCTTAGTTCGTCATGAGAGATTTAGATTTGGTCGCATATCTCGGACGGCCTAGAAACCTACATAGTAGGTGCATTTCCCGACCAAGCTTGCTCGCGGCTGCCCTCCCTGTCGTTAGCAGCTGAAATTGATGAAAGAGATGTCCTTATCGTGTTGTTATGCGGTTCGCCGGAATCGACCGATGAGCAAAACCGCTACATTGGATAGAGTTTGGAAGAGGTGATAGAACGGCAGACGATCCCGATGCAGATCAATCCCTGGCGTTCAAATAAACTTCTCGATGATATACAGATGCTGACTTGGCTATGATATCGATCAGGAAGAATATACGAGCAACCATAGCGTGCGGCTCTAGTAAATCGGTTTGAACGGGACGAAGCGTCGGTGAAGGTCTTGGCGTGCAGAAGCGTCAAGCATTGTGGCATCTGGAAATTTCAGTGTTGATCAGTACCCCCTGGGAAGGCTAGCGTAGGTATATAAGCCTTGGTGGTGGAGCGAGAAAGAAAAATGAGAGCAGAAGGAAACAGCAGTTGCAGAGACACAATCACGACAATCACGACAATCTATTGTTGTCTTTCTTAAAAACAAACACGTAAAATCTAAGTCTACTGTTTCGATTTCCGCGGACTTCGGAATCGGGGACTGCTAAAGCCGAGCGAAGGGTTTTCTCGTGCGAGATGAAGATATCGGCGACCGCGATGCAAATGTCGGCGTTTAGCACGACGATAGAAACTAGGATTAGTCACATTTCACCCAAGCTGTTTCAACAATTAAGGTCACCCGACAGCTTGAGGCATTTTCGGGAAATAGGGGCTGTTGCCTGAAGATATTGGAGGCAGCTACGGGACGAGTAAATTTCCGCATATAGCGAAAGCACGTTTGCGCATGATGACCTCGTATTCTTGTCAAACCTGGATGTTGAATTTGAGGTTCTCGACTATGAATTTGTTGCTGTCAAATGACAAGCAGGGGCAATGGTTTGAAATCAACGTATCCAGCCCATGGAGCATAGCGCTCAGGTCTGCCAGCCACGATAGACAGTCTTGCTTCCATACTTCTCACCTTTCTTGAGAACCATCATGGCTTTGTATTCCGGAATGTTAATTGCATTGACATAACGGCTGGGTTCAACGCAGAAGCCTGAACGTGCCCCCCGAGCTGGAAGGCCTTCGACAGCCGGAACATCGATGTACTTGCCAGTATAGAACTGGAACGCTGGCTCGGTCGTGGATATCTCGAGGTGAACCTTTGTGTCTGGGTGGTAGAAAGATGCCACCTTTCGAAGCGGTGATGATCGCGTGTCGACTGGAACACTGGCAGGGTCGGTATTGACGATGAAGCAATCATCAATGTCAGGCTCTTTTTCGCCTAAAGTAAATGTCTGTTTAGCAGTGACACCCGGGTATTCCTCGATCGGTCTAGTTGGAATACCACCTGTATCAACGACCTGGTATTTGTTCGTCACCAGAGTGACTTGAGTTCCTGATATGGTGGGAGCATCACTGAGGATAAAGTAGCTGTATGCAAGGTATTAGGAAGGCCTCCTTTTCCTCATTTAGCAAGGTGCTCACCTATGATTGGTTATGTTGATTGCTGTTTCATTGACCTCGTTCCCTACCAATTCCGCCTCGAACTCGATGTGCAGCACCTCTTTCTCAACTCCATTTTCCTTTTCTCTCTCTTGGATGTACCAGACCTTTACTTCAACGGTACCAGGATAGCCTTCTTCTCCGTCCATACTGATGTACTTGAAGAGGACAGCATTCTTTCCATTTCTTTGCACACTGGAGGGGCCTTCGAATTCTCGCTTGCCCCAGCCCAGATCTCCACCATGCAGAGAATTCGGACCGTTATTGACTGGCAGCTGATAGGATTTCCCATTCAACTCATTAATTTTGGCACCGGACACTCGATTGGCGATTCGACCGATAGTTTCACCGAAGAATGGCGCGTTGTACTTCTTATATAGCTCCGTAGTTGGGAAGCCCTGGACGATGTTCCTACCATTGATTTTGAATTCCTGGATGATAGCTCCCAGTGGAAGGAAGGTAAAAGCGTCGGATGATGACATGATATAAACCCTATTGATAAGGTTCCTGATGATTGAGGACGGACGCTAGCCTGATACTGCGTGCAGAATGCGTCAGTAGGAAAGTTTGAATGACCATTAGCGCAGCCGAGAGCCAATCCATGGAGTGCTCGGAGTATGCCCATCCAGACGTTCAGCATGGGAGCGCCGAGTGAAGAGAAGCCGTATAGAGGTCTCTGCTCAGTGCGGAGAAGCTGAATGACTGTGCAACTCACCTCTCTGGGACAACCCGATGGCAGACCAGGTTGACAAAGAGCCGGGGTTGTTGTAGCTGTATTAAGGGCCTGCTCTGTACGTGTAAGTTTAGTATTTCGAAGGTATCGTGAAAAGAACTGGTATGATGTGAATTCGGGGTTTATTAGCCTAATCGGAGCACAAAAGGTAATTATTCCGGTGTGGATCCATCGACCATGTGAGTGTTCTACAAAGTTAATCAATGGCGATAAGTTACTCAACGCCAAATCTAAGGCCATTGAAGGAGTATTCCTCTTCCTACAAGAGCGATGCCGTTATAGAGATGTGATTGTGAGGTCGTGGTTGAATTTTGATAGTGAACTAATCTTAGTAATCACTGGTCTGTGCGCATCCCAATGCAGGGCAAGGGCAGGGCCCTCGCAGACACGTGAATTTTTGGAGTGAAATTCAACAGCGTGACGTGCGAATTTTAGATGGAGTAGAAATAATTATGATACAGTTGCTACCAGCTCATTATTTGCATTACTGATCATTCCTAAGATCGGGCCAAGTCAACTTCACTCGGCGAGCTGCTCCACTAGGCCGCGGCGTTGAGATCCTCGGAGGCAGCCAATTTCAGCACCCCGGTTTACCCTTAAACGTCATAATGAACCCTCCATTTCCCGAAAAACACAATGCCTCCCAAAAGACTAG